TCCTGTCTCAACTCTTGTGTAAACAGAACACAAATAAAGCAACTAGATACAATGTTGTGCAATGGGAGGAGCCAGAGGACAGGAAAGAGGGGAGGAGCTAGAGAACAGAAAGGGGTGAGAAGGAGAAGGAGCTCAAGGAAAGGAGAGCACGAGGAGAGCAGAGCGGGAGGAGAGAGCTTGGAGGACGTGGAGTGTGAACCAGACCTAAGATTTCACAAAAAGCAAGCATAATGTGGGAAATATAAATGTTTGGAAACTGAGGGCTTGGAGGTTTATGAGGCAGTAAATATTGCCCAGCATTGTGTTCTAGGTTAACTAAAAACCCAGTCTCTGTGTGATGATTTGGTTATACAGCTGCTGAGGATTTACAGCAGCATTACAAGAAGATAAAACAATAGCAAATATTAATAGTCGCCTACAACAGAAACTCATAATAAAGAGTCCAAGACCTTCAATACCATGATGGGTAGAGTCTTCCAAGCCCCTGTGGAAGGCTCCTGTCCTGTTTCCTGTCTTCTCCTACCTCCGATGTCTAGCTTGTTTACCCTTGAATGAAGTTTCAGCCTCTTCCCTATTATCCCCCCTTGCTGTTTAGCTTCTTTAGTACTATAGATTTTAGAATGTTTATCCTATATTTTATGTCTAACATCCACTTATAAGTGAGTATATACCATGTGTGTCTTTCTGGTTCTGGGATACCTCACTCAGGATGATCGTTTATAGTTTCTACCATTTGCCTATACTTTTCATGTTTTCCTTGTTCTTAATTGTTGAGTAGTATATAAATGTGTAAATGTTCCACAATTTCTATATCCATTCCTCAGTTGAGGTACATCTAGGGTGTTTCCAGATTCTGGCTATTATGAGCAAAGCTGCTATGAACATAGTTGAGCAAATATCCTTGTTGTATGGTTGAGAATCTTTTGGATATATGCCTAGGAGTGGTATAGCTGGATCTTGAGGTAGGACTATTCTAAATTTTCTGAGAAATCACCAGATTGATTTCCAAAGTGGTTGTAAGTAATCTTATAAAAGAAGGGGGAGATAGGAAAACCTGGAGGGGGCAGGAGTTCTAAAAGGAGACCAAAAGGGCCAATATGTCTGAGTCCTGGGAGCTCTGTGGAGACTGATACCCAACCAAGAAAAATGCATGGAGAGGACCTAAAACCCTGACTCAGATGTAACCCATAGACTCAGTTTCCAAGTGGGTTCCCTAATAAGGGGAACAGGGGTTTTCTCTGGCATGACCTCAGTAATAGGCTCTCTGATAATCTCCTTCTGGGGGATGCAGCCTTGCCAGGCCACAGAGGAAGACAATGCTAACCAGTCCTTATGAGACCTGATAGGCTAGGGTCAAATAGAAGGGGAGGAGGACCTCCCCTATCAATGAACTAGGGGAAGGGCATATGGGGAGAAGATAAAGGGAGGATGGGGTTAGGAAGAGATGAGGGAAGGAGCTATATTTGGGATACAAATTGAATAAAATGTAATAAATGATAATAATTAAAAAGATTTCAAAATAAACCAGATAAATTTAGCCCAACAGAAGATAAACTGGGAAAAAGCCTTCAACATAATTCCACAGGGGTTGATTGTCTGAACTGAAAGGCTATACCAGTGCCAATAAGATCAACAACTGAAAAGTGAGAACTAAAGAAACAGAAATATTTTTGTAGGGCATAGAAACATCACCAATTAGTAAAGCAGTAGCCTTTAGAATAGCAAAAGATACATATCTAATAGAAAACTAAAATGGCACCAGAAAAATTAAAAAAGTAGGTATCAACAAATCAAGCAGTCTAGTTAAAAATGGGGTACAGACCCAAACAAAGAATACTCAAAAGAGGAACCTCAAGTGGTTGAGAAACAGTAAAAGAAATCTTCAACATCTGTAGTCATTCGGAAAATGCAAATCAATTGTACTGTGAGATCTCATCTTTCACCTGTCAGATCCCTGGCTTAGATCAATAACACAAGTGACAGTTCATACTTTAGAAGAATGTAGATCACAGGGAACAATCCCCTATTGCTGGTGTGAGTGAAAACTTGTATAGCCACTGTGGAAATCACTATGGTGGTTCTTCAGAAAAACTAGAATCTATCTATCTCAGGAACCAGCTATACCACTTTTGGGCGTACACCCAAAGGACCCTCCATCCTATCACAAGGACATTAGCAGAACCATGTTCTCTGTGGCTTTCTTCATAATAGCCAATGTCTGGAAAAAACACAGATGTGCCTAAACTGATGAATAGACACAGGAATTGTGGTACATTTACACAATCGAGTATGATTCAGTTATTTACATAATGATGGCACAGAACCTGTGGAAGCAGCCAACCAGTGTTTCATTTGATTTAAGGCCCACTTCCCAAGATAGAACCCATACCCATCACTGCTAGAGTAACCAGGAACTGGACTATACAGCTCACATAATGAGGGAAAAACAAAACTTTTTATTAGTCATAAAAAGTATCAATAAAATGGCTTCTAATGATATTCTGCTATACTCATAGATCTGTCCATTATCCACTGATCATCGGAGAGGTTTTCTCCAGCAGTAGATGTAAAGAGATGCAGAGAACCACAGTCAGACATTATTCAAAGAGAGTATTAATGGGAGGTCTCCATCAAACCCATTTACTCAAATTTCATGGCATCCAAAGAACTTGTGAGAGCCAGAGTTGGTGGAAGACACTAGGAAAAGAAGGCCCCGTGAATCAACTAAGCAATGACCATATGAGCTCTCAAAGTCCAAAAGGGAAAGCATGGGACCTACAAGGGCCTGAGTTATGTCCTCTGTGTATGTATACAGCTTTTATCTTAGAACTTTTATGTTACTCCTGCTGTGATAATGAGTGAGTCAGACTCTTGTGTCTGTGCTTGGGATTCTTTCCCTCCTGTTTCATTGTGATATCCAACTTTGATATGATAGTTTTTGCTTCATCTTATTATATATTATTTTGTGATGTCTGGTTGTTATCTGTTAGAACCTGTTTTTCTGTATCTAATAAGAGACAGAAAGAGAGTGGATCCTGAGGGGAGGAGTAGAGGGAGGGAAAATATTATTAGAAGGAAAATCTATTTTCAATAAAAAACTAAAAATAAATATATGAACAACCTGCCCAAAAGTTGGCTAATTTTAATTTAAATAGTCTTTGGTCTCTCCTAGTGGATTTCACTTTAAGAGTTTCAGCACAACTACTGCTCATCTCATAGTTGAACAGAAGACGTATGGAAAGCAGCCCAACCCTAGAGCTTACACAGTGCCTGCTTTCCTTCCTCCTTGATCTCTCCTGGTACCAGGAGCATTATCACCCCAGATTAGGAAGCAGGAACCTCATTTTGAGAATGAATAGCAATGGGAGTGAAAGCAAGAGCAGAACTGAGCTTTCTTCCAAACCTTGAAGAAAAGGGCCTCCCTGGGAAACATGTGCAAATTGTCCAGTGGGCAAAGTGATATGGAGAGAACCAAGAGTAGAGTGGGCAGCCTATTAGGTGAGGCACTGGTATAAACTGCAGTCTACAGAAGAAGACAATGCAGCCATTCTTGATAAGTCCTGAGGGACTAGGATCAGAAGGAAGGAGCAGAAGACCTCCCCTATCAGTGGACTTGGGGAGGGGCAAGTGTGGAGAAGGGGGAAGGAGGGTGGAATGGGAAGGGGAGGAGTTTATGAATTAAGTGTATTTAATAAAAATTAAAATTAAAATATTTATTAGGAAGAAAGACGGCAGCGCTGTGACAACTCTCATTCTGACCAGCAGCACAGCAGGATCAGCACAGTGACCAGCAGTCAGAACTCACGGCCCTAAAACACAAATGGTTGTGTTTCCCAAGTGAGAGGATACCCACGGATACCCACTGTGGGGGATTCAATCAGCTTCAATTGACCCAGCTAAACCACAGAAGAGTTCCCGGTTCCACTAGGTGCTTTGTTGCCAGCCCAGAACCATACGCCAGCATGCTCTGATCACTGCCCCAGACTGAACTGTGGGCTCCACAACACCAGAGACTCAGATTTCCAGTTGAAAGATAACCTCACAGTGAAGGAAATGATTAGGACTAACCTTAGGTCACCCAGATATTCCGTGAAAAAAGACCCGGGGTTCCACGGGTGCCCAGAAACCAGCCCAGAGAAGTAGCTGTGGACCCAGGCGCTGGCCCAGAGTCCTGCCTACACACCTGACTAGCTGTCCCAGATAGAACTGTGGGACCCAGGACACCAAAGACTGAGTTTCTCTGTCGGGTGCAATCCCACAGGGAGGGGAACAGCAGGTCTGATCTCAGAGCACTCAGCCCATACCACCACCCCAAAAAGGTCTCGGAAAAATTACCCAGTTTCAGCAGAAGTCCAGGCACCCAATCGCCAGAAAAGCGAATAAGTAGTTTAGAAATAACATTTTTCTTTTCATATTAACAATCCATATTCTTTAAATAGGTAATATTTAAATTCCAGTAATGACCTTATTTTTTATTGAACTTCTGATTTTACATATGAATAAATTTTACTTATATATAAAATCCAGATTTCCCTCTCCTTTTTTACATCCTCTCCTTCTTTCCTTTCTCTCACCTACACTTCTACTTTCTCCTTCTTTCTTTCCTTTCTGCTTCTCCTGTTTCTTTCTGCTGTTGTTGATCATTATATTGTTTCCTCAGAATTGTAATCAAAGGTTTTCTAGTATTATTTCTATTAAACTCACTTACTTTCAATGTTTTTGATATTTAATAGAAGCCTGTCATGAGTGCATCTCTATATTTGCAGACTGAGAGTTCTAAGTTGGTCCTTGAGCTTCTATGTTTACTTTTTTCCCTAGTGATTGGTTAATCACTTTGATAATATTTTTGGCTGAAGATTTAACCTGGATTCTCTCACAACCCAGTACCCTGGCTATTTACTTTCTCATTTGATGACTACTTTGCATAGGTCCCTACAAGCCATCCCAGCTGCCCACATTATATAAACCAGGCCTTTGCAGTGAGAACTGCAAAGCATCAGACAGCCTGGGGCACCAAGATGGAGTCACAAACCCAGGTCTTCATATTCCTGCTCCTTTGGATGTCTGGTGAGACATTAAAGAGTATTAGAATATCATCAAAATAATTCATTTGTAGAGAAACAGTTATTTACTATAGGAATCAAATTGTATTGAGGGAATGCCATTAGAAAAGGCATTTTTGAGCCCAATCATTTTATCAGGAACTCTTTGTGTGTATATGTGTATACTCATTGTCTTTTTCTGATTCCAGGTGCTGAAGGGGACATTGTGATGACTCAGTCTCCTGAAATCATGTCCACATCTGTAGGAGACAGGATCACCCTAAGCTGCAAGTCCAGTCAGAGTGTGGGTAGCTATGTACATTGGTACCAACAGACACCAGGGCAACCTCCTAAACTGCTGATGTACAGGGCATCCAATCGCCCCTCTGGGGTCCCTGATCGCTTCACAGGCAGTGGATCTGGGACAGATTTCACTCTTTCCATAAGCAGTGTGCAGGCTGAAGACCTGGCAGTTTATTACTGTCAGAATGGTTATAGTACTCCTCCCACAATGCTTCAGCCTCCAACATAAACCTCCTTGAGAGTCTCACCAGCTGTCTGTACCACACACAGCCCTGGGCCTGCACACTTCCCTTTTCTGTCTGAGATCTGCTATGCATGACTGATTAATAATTAAGAGATAGCCTCCATTCTTCCACAGATTGTCAACACTGGTGTGTATAGATTAAAAGGAAAAGCTAAGTTAAGAGATTTAGAAATTGTGGTGTTGCACTGAGAAGATATAGTAAATGCAAGAAGCATCAGAGAAGTTTACAGTGTCATGGTGGCTTTCAATATCTCTTTTTATGCTTTTAGGCTATGATAAATCTGTATAAAAGTAGGATAAAATTTCAAATCATTTACAAAGAATATATCATCATGAGTTTATTACTTTAGATTAAGAATCCTCAAACTTTGGAAAAGGAAATCTATCAAGAAAATTGTCCATTTCATTTCGATTTTCGAATTTTGTGGTGTATAGGCTTTTGAAGTAAGACCTAATAATTCTTTTAATTTCTTCAGTGTCTGTAGTTATGTCTCCCATTTAGTTTTGATTTTGCTGATTTGTATACTTTCTCTCTGCTTTTTAGTTAGTTTGGTTAAGAGTTTGCCTATATTGTTAATATTCTCAAAGAACCAGGTATTGGTTTCATTGATTCGATAAATTGTTTTTTTCCATATCAAAAGCATTTTATTGCTGCAGTAATAGAAGCCTGTAAAATATGAAAGACATGGATTGCATTATCAGCATATATGTATCTGATTTTTATCTATTTAATACAATTTTTTTTTCACTTTGTATCTCAGCTATGTCCCCCTTCCTCATTTCCTCCAAATCCCGCCCTCCCTTCCTCTTCTCCTCTCATGCCCCTCCCTCAGTCTACTTTTAGGTTTGGACCTTTTCTCCTTCCAATGACCCTAGCCTATCAGATATCATCAGGACTGGCTGCATTCTCTTACTCTGAGGCCTGGTAAGGCTGCTCTCACCCCAGTGGTAGGTGATCAAAAAGCCAGCCACTGAGTTCATGTTGGGGTCAGCCCCTGTTCCCCTAGGAACAGTCTTGGAGACTGAGCTCCCATGGGCTACTTCTGTGCTGGGGTTTTAGGTTATCTAAATTCATGGTCCTTGATTGGAATGCTAGTCTCAGAAAAGACCCCTGAGCCGAGAGTTTTTGGTTCTGTTTTTCCACACTATTTCTTCTAACAGGTTTAGTGTGTCTGGTGTTATGTTGAGGTCTTTGATCCCCTTGGACTTTATTTTTGTGTAGGGTGTTAAGTATGGATCTATTTTCGTTTTTCTATATGTAGATAACCAGTTAGACCATCACATTTGTTGAACGTGCTGTTTCCCATTGTATGGTTTTGGCATCTTTGTCCAAAACCAGGTGCCCATAAGTGTGTATATTTATTTCTGGGTCTTCTATTTGATTCCATTGATACACTATTCTTTTTCTCTACCAGTATCTTACAGTTTTTATTTCGTTGGTTTATATTATTGCTTGAGATCAGAAATAGTGATACCTCCAAGAGGTCTTTTATAGTATAGATTTGTTTTAGCTCTTCTGGGTTTCTCGTTATGCCACATGACATGGAAAATTTTTCCTTCAATATCTGTTAAGATTTGTGTTTGCCAAGTGAATCAAAGACCTCAACATAAATGTAGACACACTAATTTGGTTAGAAGAAAAAGTGGGAAGAGCCTAGAATTCATTGGCACAAGAAATAACTTCTTGAACAGAACACCAACACACAGGCTCTATGACTGACAATCCATAGATGGCACCTCATGAAACTGAAAACCTTCTGTAAAGCAAAGGACACTGTCATCAGAACAAAACAACAGTCTGCAGACTGGGAAAGGATATTCACCTTCCCTACATCTGACATCCCTAATATCCAGAATATACAATCAACTAAAGAATTTTAAAAAACATCAAATTAAGTAACCAAAATAAAAAATGGAGTACAGAGCTAAATAGAGAATTCTCTGTAGAGGAATACAGAATGGCAGAGAAACACATAAAGAAATGCTCAACATTCTTAGTCATCAGGGAAAGGCAAATCAAAATAACCTTGAGATTTCACCTTACATCCATCAGAATGGCTAAGATCAAAAACTGATGTGACAACACATGTTGGAGAGAATGTGGAGAAAGGGGAACTCTCTTTCATTTTTGGTGGGGATGTAAACTTACACAACCACTTTGGAAATCAATCTGGCACTTTCTCAGACAATTAGGAATAGTGCTTCCTCAAGATCCAGCTATACCACTCCTAGGCATATATCCAAATGATGCTCAAGTACTCAACAAGGATATTTCCTCAACAGTATTTATAGCAGCTTTATTTTTAATAGCCAGAACCATCTAGGGACAACCTAGATGTTCCTCAATGGAGCAATAGATACAGAAATTGTGGTACATTTATACAATGGAATCCTGCTCAGCAATTAAAAATAAGGAAATCAAGTCATTTGCAAGCAAATGACTGAGAAAAGATCATCCTGAGTGAGTTATCCCAGAAGCAGAAAGACACAAATGGTGTATACTCACATATAAGTGGCTACTAGACGTATAAAATAGAAAACATACTAAAATCTGTACACCTAAAGAAGATAATCAAGAAGAAGGACTTAGCATAATTTGATCAATTCTTACTTAGATAAATAAATGGTATAGACACTGGAAGCAGGAGAAACAAGAAACAAGATAGGAGCCTACCACAGAGGGGCTCTGAAAGACTCTACCTAACAGCGTATCAAAGCAGATGCTGAGAATCATGGCAAAATTTTGGACAGATTGCATAGAATCATATGAAAGAAGAGGGACTTAGTGAAGCCTGGAGAGGACAGGAGCTCCACAAGAACCAAATATAGCTGGGAACAGGGGCATTTTCTGAGACTGATTCTCCAACAAAGGACCATTTATAGATATAATCTAGAACCCCTTATCTGATGGAGCCCATCACAGCTCACTATCCAAGTGGGTACCCTAGTAAAGGGAACAGGGACTGTCTCTGACATGAACTCATTGGCCAAGTCTTTGATCTCCCCACCCTCATGGAGGAACAGCCTTGCTAGTCCACAGAGGAGGGCATTGCAGCCAGTCCTGAAGAGACCTGATAAGCTAAGGTCAGATGGAAGTGGAGGAGGCCCTCCCCTATCAGTGGACTTTGAGAGGGGCAGGGAGGAGATAAAAGAAAGAAGGTGGAATTGGGAAGGAATGATAGAGGGGGGATACAGCTGGGATACAAATTAAATAAACTGCAATTAATATAAAAAATTAATAAAAAATTTGTATGCCTTAAGAAGCTAAGCAAGAAGGAGGACCTTGTGTAAGATGATTAATCCTCTCTGAGAAAGACATAGGGGATGGCCATTGGAAGAAGAGGAAAACAGGAAACAATAAGGTAGCCTACCACAGAGGGCCTCTGAAAGACTCCACCCAGAAGTGCATCAAAGCAGATGCTCAGACTTATAACCAAGCTTTGGGGAAAATTCAGGGAATTTTATCCAAGAAGGGAGAGATAGTAATACCTGGAGAGGACAGAAGCTCCACAAGTGGAGCAACAGAACTGAAGTATATGGGCACAGATGTCTTTTCTGAGGCTGATACTCCAGCAAGTACCATTCATGGATAAAACCTAGATAACCTAGAATCCCTCCTCAGATGTAGCCCATGGCAGCTCAGTATCCAAGCGGGTGCAGTAGTAAGGGGCAGAGGGACTGTCTCTGTTACGAACTCAGTTTCTGGCTTGTTGAGCAACTCCTATTGAGTAGGGAACAGCATGGCCAGCCCACAGAGGAGGACAATGCAACCAGTCCTGATGAGACCTGATAAGCTAGGGTTAGATGGATTGAGAGGAGGTCTACCACTATCAGAGGATTTAGACAGGAGAATGGGAGGAAATGAAGGAAGAAGGGTAGGATTGGGAGGGAAAGAGGGAATAGGCTACATCTGGGATACAAAATGAATAAACTGTAATTAATATAAAATTAATAAATAATAAATTGGAACCAGACAAAATAGTCATCATGTTTTTCTATAGCACGCATTTCCACCTGACCAATTATTTCCTCTTATTATTAGGTGAAATTAGCAAATTATACAATTTTGTTAGAAATTCTTGAATACTGTTATTTACATGTATCCTACTCTCCTCTGGTAATGCTGGCTTGCTGAAAAGCAACTACTCTTCACTCTGTCTCTCTAAATCTTTGGATGTCACAGTTTGTCTGGGGAAGAGGATGATTAGGTGGGCCTCTATCTTCTCTGGACTCAACTTTCCGAGGCTCTTCCCAGTGTGAGAAAATATCCTTCTATGCCCTTACTGGGAGTTGCTGTGTCTTCCTAGGTTACCATCTCTGGTACTCAACTTCCAGTCAAGCATTAGCTTTAGTTTCACAAATCAGAATGTGGAATGCTCTCCTTATTGACACAAAACCACAATTCTCACCTCAAAGGGGATATGAGAGTTTGTTCTGGAACCAAATATTGAGCCACTGATTCCTGCAAAAGAGAATCCAGTTTCCTCTAATACCATGGGCCAACCTGGAAGCAGTTTTACGATGTTTTTGTAGTAAGTGAACAACAAAAGTCAGAAACAGCACACTTTTCAAACAAATTGGTGAAAACATTCTGAAAAGCAGTGGAGTCTCTGGGAGTTGAGGTCAGTAGAAAGTTCTAGAGTAATTCAAGCTCATCTAAAAGGCTTTTATGTGCCACTGTACTGACTCTTCACCTCTTAGTCTTTCTGAAGAGGCTTATGGGGGAGAGCTCTGTGGGTGCCCTATGTGACATTGCTTCAGGAACACTTTGGCCACTCAAAACTAATTAAACCACAATACATTTCTCATTATGATTCTGTTCAATAAAAGAAGTCATTTGTAAAAAAGTAAAGGGAGATGACATTGCACAGAATGTTGGAGGAAGTTACACCCACTATGTGGCCTTTAATCCAAATCTATAAATGTCATCAGACACTCCAAAGGCTAATAGGGAAGAGCATGAACTGCAGATGAATGCTGGGAAT